GCTGGTATCATCAATGGTGACAGTAAACGAAGCGGATCGTAACAATATCCACTGATCTGGCCAAGATCCGTGCGCTTAGAGATCTTGTTGACTTGCTTTTTGGAAAACTTTAAAGTGGTAATGTCTTCTACGGTGTTCCAGTGAATTCCAAGAACTTTGATTTCAGTTGAATTTGCTCGATCAGAATCCATTATGTTTTTGTTGACTACAACCGAGTTGGAGAGGTAATCACGCAGGTTCATTCCAATAGAATGATAATAGTCGTTCAGATTCAGCGTATTTTTAGATTAATTCGTTTGCCTTCTTATCGTCGAGTGGCACATTGTCTACGTAGAGGGAGTTGGAAAGTTCTGCGATCCTTGAATGTGCTTCAGTATCAGTTGGTTTAAAATAGCTGAGCTTGCATTGGTACCGAAAGGTACCTGGCAAAACGAAAATACTTGGGATTGTTTCTTGCTTGTAGAGGCGACGTACCTTTCACCCAGAGGAATCTTGTGACATCTCTACACTCCTTTGGGCAGCGGTACTTGTAAAAATGCTCTTTTGTATATCAGCCACCATGGTGTAAAAGATGCGTGCAAACTGCAGAACCACTTAATGGATAAGTGGCGTTAGTGAATGAACTCCAAAGATGACATCGTTGAAGCTGCACTCATCCGTCCCATGTGAAGCAGGGTCATCCGCCCGATGCGCAAAGAACAACGAGAGGTTCGTATTCGCTACGACAAGAGGAGGCACCGGCATCGTAACTTCAAGTACCATTCACAAAATTAGAAGCTGCCAAGGCGTGGCTAAGTGGCAAAGGAGGACAGACTTTCAACTGCCACTGCGACTACGCACCACAGACGATTGAATGGCGCATCCCAGAGCGAGATTTCTTACTAAATACGTCATGTTCCAGTGAGCACAAGCGAAAAATTTTTCCAGAGAAGCTCCAACGTTTTTTCCAAATCGGAGTGGAGGAAAGTGCATTCTGATTCGACTGATTGATCTCTGAGTACTGATAGACGCCTATGGTAGGAGAAAGGATTTCCTTCTGAGAGCATCTGCTGTATAGCACTGGTCTTTCCGATTTCATGCTCTTTACCGTCCCAATGTACCGACTTTGAAGAAACTTATGGCCATTTGAAGGTTGAAAAGTGCGTTTCAAGAGAATGGCCTAAAAAAGCCATTGAGGGAAAAACGGAACAACGGGACGATTTTTCGAAAGAGTGGTCATTTAGAAAAATCTTGATATTTTTCGAAAAGGTCAATCTTCTAGTTTCTAATTAGCTTTGAAAATCTGCAAAAAGTTAATAATGAAGGAAGTTATGAACGTTTGAATGACGAAAACTCGCGCGTTCTCAAAAATCGGACCACAAACCCCTGAAAACGGAACAAGGGAGTATCTTCGGAGAAAGTAACATTGTAACAAATTTGCGAACAAGTGAACATTTGCGAAAGTTCAAAATTTTTGAGGAAGAAAACAACTTGAAGTTTTACTGAATTCTTGCATCCCATCGCATGAATCCGCTTCTGATGAAAGATATGACTTCTTGAATGAAGGTTCGTATCGTAACGTATCGCTGCAAGGTTTGTTTATGCACTTTATGAAGGAAGCAGATTTGAATAAAGCTTGGAATGTTTCTGTAAGTAGAAATCTCTGCGATTAATACCATGCATGCCTAGGTTTACGCAAAAATTTGGAAATTCCTTCTATTTAATGAATAAAACTTCATGTTGCCTCGATTCCCTCCTCTGAGCGAGACAAAGCGCGCGGATTGACCACTGGTCCACCACTTCTCCATGTCGGTGACGGCCCATACACTGATGGTTAAAAGGATAAAAGGATAAAGCATTTGCCGTTGATCAATCCCTTTTTGGGATGCGGCACGCATTCTACTTCCATTTGTACATTCGTAGTGGCGTTTGAA